TAATATATTCCATCAATTTAATTAATTCCATTACGTTAAGTATTGTTATTTTTTGGTAAATATCTTTTTGTAAATTAAATATGTGCAACTGAAATTAAAGCATGGTGAATATTTCAAGGAAACTGTGTGTTACTGTTATGTACAAGTAATGTATTAATTACAAAAAAAAATTATTCAAACAGCATTCGTCTTAAAATTTCTTAGTTGATTTTCATTTCAAATTCAAACATCAATTATATATGCAACTTCCGTTCAGAATGTTATATTATAGACAGTGTAATACTTTTATTAAAAATTGAATGTTTTTCCACATAAAACAAATCTGAAGAAAACCATAACTGAAAATTCGACCGAATCTAGCATTATTACTTTAACCTTTGGTGCATCCGGGAGTTTAGCATGGAATTATCTGGAATGAGTGTTATTAATGTGTTAAAGAATCTAAATACATATATTCCTAAAGTTCATATGCTCAAGCATCAAAAATTAAAGGGAAAATTTCACTGTAGGACCGCAGAAGATAATTAATTTCAAAGAGCTCCCAAAACTTTCTAAAACTTCACTGCATGACCAAGGGGCAAACTGATATTAATTCCACAAAGAAAATGACGTTATTGCCCCTCATAATACTTATTGCAGGGTGACATGTAAATGAACTAATTTCAGTTGTAAATAAAGGTATGTATGTTGCAAATTGACTAGTCCCACTTGCAAATGGGTTCTCTCACACTTATTCACTCACAGGCACCTTTTTCAGGTGAATGAGGTGATATGTAAATGGACTAATTCTAATTGTAAATAAATGTATGTATGTTGCAAATTGACTAATTTCACTTGCAAATGGGCGCTCCCACACTTGTTTACTCACTGAGACCTTTTTCAGGTGAACGAAGTGACAAGTAAATGGACTAATTCCAGTTGTAAATAAATATATGTATGTTGCAAATTGTCTAGTCTCACTTGCAAATGGGCTGTCCCACACTTGTTCACTCAGACACATTCTTCAGGTGAAGAAGGTAATATGTAAATGGACTAATTTTAATTGTAAATATATTCATGCATGTTGTAAATTATCTAATCTCACTTGCAAATGGGTTCTCCCATACTTGTTTACATGCAGGGCAATAGGGTCATTTTCTTTGTGGAATTAATATCAGTTTGCCCCCTTGGTCCTGCAGTGAAATTTCAAAAAGTTTTGGGGGCTCTTTGAAATTAATTGTCTTCTGCGGTCCTACAGTGAAATTTGCCCAAAATTAATAGTATTGTTTATCCTCTCAAATTAAATTAAATTAATATAATTAATAAAAATATTAAAAGCAGAAGATCTTTTACTTTGACATATACATAGAGAGAGGTGTACTACATTATTAGCTGAATTGAAGACACAGGATCATACATAAATAGCTTTTACACCGAATCACAACTCATCGCACTCTCTTTTGACATTATCTTTTTTTTTATTACAATATCAGTCTAGCTACACTCAAAGCATAAATATATTGCAATTTAATTATTAATAAAATTAAACACCACAATAAGCCTTGAGAGGAATTCTGTGTTTCTGGGCTTCTTGCGAGTGATAAAAGTTGAGATACTCAAGGAAATCAAAGGGCTTATACAGAAGAGGATGTTCCTCATCCACAAGCTCCTCTGGTGCTTTTATTATATAACCTTCTTTGGGCCTCGCAAACAGTGCTGCTGAGTATCTATCTTCACTACCTCTCATCATTACTTTGTGAAATGCATTATACAGCTTCCCATTTGTCCAAGCCTGCATTAATTAATTTATTCCTCATGCTTCACTTATATCTAAATCAATCAGAACCAACATTTATGTCTATAGTTTATGTCACGTAATAACCATCATAAAATCAACACCATATTTGTTAAGAGAAAAACAATATTAAGCCACAAACACACAGTCCAGATGTTAGAGGTCAAATGAAACCATATATAGTACTTCTACTTCGGTCTTCAAGCTAATCTGGATTGATCCTAAATGTATATGACCTTAATCCATTTTATCTCTTATATTGATCATTTTGCCCAACCTAATTTACCTAGTTGATAAAGTGATATATTCCCTCCGATTCTATATATAAGTTTCAAATAACCAAATCATGTTTGACGAACTAGTAGTTAAAATTAGTTAAAAATAATAAATAGGTCAGAAATGTTTTTTTTTTTTCAAATTTGCCCTTATTTACTAAGAGAGTGAATAAGAGGTAATAAATGAAAGAATGATGAAAGAGAATACTAAATAAAGTCAACTAAGGGCAAAATAGAGGGGAGAAAAAAGTCATAAATACTCAGACAAACTTAAAAATAAAACTTATATTTTAGACCAGACTCATCTCCAAAAGTGAAGCTTATATATAAGATCAGAGAGAGTATACAATCTAATGTTACCAAGAAGTATTTTAGGTGATAATGTCATATTTGTTAGAATTAAGTAATTTGTTTTTCCTTTTTAATTAATGTACCCAAAGGAGCGGAGAAATATAAATAAATAGCACCAACTTACCTGGAGACAGTCGCCGACAAAAAAGACAAAACTATGAGGTGTAGGCTGGTATGTGATCCATTTTCCATCTTTGGTTTCAATCTCTAAACCCTCCACTTCATTAATTTGATACAGTATGGTCGTTATGCCAGCATCTGTGTGTTTGATTACACCCAACGTTGAGTCTTCAGTTTGAGGAGCCGAGTATTTCATAATCCTCAGCATATGAGTGCTTGAGTTCATGAACTCATCCAAGTACTTCTCTACTCCTAAACTTTCCAGAACCATCTTCCTCACCATCTGCTCCAACTCCGATACCTGCTCTGAGAAGTCTTTCATAACTTTGCTGCAAAAATATATAATAACAAACAAGTTGATCGATAAATATTTAAGAAGTATGCTTCAAAAAGTCATGTTTTTGTTTAGAAAGAATCAAAAATAAAAACTTAGGTGAGACCTGAAACTTGGGTATCCTTCAGGCCACAAGTTATTTTCCAAGCTCTCTATTTTCCCAAGGACAAGTGCTTCATCGACGCCAATGCTCTCGTAGAGTGGGCTTTTAGGACCTTTTCCAATATAACCATAAAAAGGGTTCTTATGTGTATTTCTCTGTTTGGTTTCGAGGGGTAGATCAAATGTCTCTTTAAGCAAAGCAAATAAGGATTTGCGAAGATCTAGAGGAACCTTATCAAACAATGCCTCAAAGCAACCGTGCTCCTCAAGTGCTTTGAGGACTTGGGATTTCACTTTCTCCCACTTAGGGTTTTTGCCTTCCAAGTCAAGGCTGTTAAAGTCAATGACTGGAAGCTTAAGAGTGGTTTCTGAACCCATTTTATTTCTTTGGCCTCTACAAGTGAAGGGATGTTCCAGTTTAAGCTTGGAGTGCGCCACTTAAATAGTATGCCTTACATAGTACGGTGCATACTAATATATGTGGCTTAGTTAAAATTATCTCAACTTTTGAATAGGTTTTTTTTTGTTGAAATTTTATTGGTCTACTTATTAACTCCAGTCGTATGTGACCAAAGTGTTTATGTCATCGTGAGGGTGTGTGTGTGTGTAACGTCCTTTTATGTTGAAAGGGACAAAATGAAAATTACGTTGAAATTTGAATTCATAGATGTGGTCCAAAGGGTCATTTTTTTTAATAATAAGTAGCTGTCCATGTACTATTCTGATGATAATAGCATAAGTATGAGTTTCCATCAAGACTTTTGTAATTAAGGTGTAATAACATTTGGGGACCATTGGAGAAAATTAAAAGCATGGAGAGACACAAAATATTGGAAAATAAAAAATTGCTGAATGAAATGCCCTTTCCTCTTTTTTTTTTTTTACACTATACACACATACACACAACCCTCTCCCATTACTGGCTGATGCTGCCATAAGCTACTATATATATACACGTACTAGAAGACTACTTGTAAATACTAGCCGCCTGTGAACACTAAATGATCATTTGTGAATAATCTTTAGTACAATGTTTTTTGGTTTCTTTATGAATTGCAAATCCTTAAACAATGATGGAGGGGCATTTCTGTCTAACCAATATTTCGAGTCCCTTTGTTTGGTTAACTTCCATTTTCCATGAATAAATATGTCATCTCCCTTGAACAAATATAAAACACATGTATATGGAGTGTGGATGAAATCTTTCAGCGCAAGACTGGATCAACTTAGCTGAGAATATGAAATGTTTTATTTCAAAAAAACAAAAAAAAGAATATGATATGTTAAGATTGATTGGTGGAGGACCATTTAGTTTTTTTTTATAAAAAAAACCTAAGCTATAGATAAACTAACTCTATTCAATTCGTATATATATTGTAACTCTAAATCTTCTTGTGGGGGTTATGATAGAAATCATTCACAAGTTGTCGATTGTGGACCACTAGAAAATTATAAGTTATCGTACAATTATTTACACGGTACTGTGGTACCACAAATATAAAATTCGATTTGAAAATGGCAAAAGATTAACACATTTTATATTTGCATAACGACATGGGAGAACCGTATTTGCTTTTACAAGTTGATAATAGGACCACCTCAAATTTATGATTCTGTAGTACTATCCATACAATTATATTCCCGTGACAGTGATATAGAGATATTGCAAACAAAATCGATTGGGCATTGACGTTGATGAAAATAATGTTTCAACAATCAACAAATGAAGCATAATATTAAAACTGTTAATTTCTCTTCTTTTCAATACTTAGCTATCAATCAAATTAAGACATTATTTAGGTTTTCAATGCATAAATTAGAGATATAACAAGATTTATAGCAAAAATAATGGACCCGAACCTTTGTTTTCTTGATTTATATGATTAGTGGTATAAATAATTCCTTTTTTTCTAATTAAAAGACCAACTCATGAAGCAACGAGTGAACAGAGATGTACTCCATTAGATTACTTGAAGGGAACAAGACATCTATAAATAGCATCTAAAATAACATGCATCCCTGAACTAGCAGTTCTTTTGGGAAAATGGGTTCCCAAACAGTTTCCCAGATTCCTATTATTGATTTCTCCGATAAAAACTTAAAACCTGGTACAGAAACCTGGTTTTCAGCTGGCCAAGTGTTGCGAAGGGTCCTAGAGAGTGATGGATGCTTCTATGCAATGAGCAACAAGGTTTCTATGGAGCTTTGCAACTCAGTCTTTGTTTTAATGGATGAGTTATTTGATCTTCCATTGGAAACAAAAAAGCAAAAAACCAGTGATAAGCCTTTTCATGGATACTATGAACGACATCCCAGAGTCCCTTTATATGAATCCATTGGAATTGACGAGCCCTCCAAAAAGGAAGCAGTTCAAAAGTTCACCAACATCATGTGGCCAGCAGGATATGATCACTTCTGGTATTACAATTTTAAACCTAATTTTTTTTGTGTTTTCCAGTTTACCTTCTTAGTCATATTATTGAAAAATTTTATTGATGTGAAGGATCTGATAAATTTTTATACGCAAAAAGTACCAGCATTTTGAAATTTTTGCACACATATAGTAGTATATCGGTACTCTAATTTGAGTTATTCTCACCAATAAAAATTTTAGTAGGAGAATTTTCCCTATTTTCTTTGTTGTATCATTAATAATTTTCTTGATTATATTGTTTGAGTGTAGTGAGACACTCAGTCTCTATGCAAAGTTGCTGGTAGAAATGGACCAAACTGCCAAGAGAATATTGTTTGATGCTTACGGGTTGGACAAAACACATTGTGATTCCTTTCTTGAATCAACCAACTACATGCTTCGCAGCTTTAAATACCAACTACCTAAGAAGACACACAGTAATTTAGGCCTGCCTGCTCACACCGACACTTCATATTTCACCATATTACATCAGAATAAAGTTGCAGGCTTGCAAATTAAACTCAAGAATGGTGAATGGATCGATGCTGATCCCTCACCTAACATGTTTCTATTCTTGGCTGCTGATGCATTAAAGGTGGGCAATATATTTGGGGAAAAAATCACTATTAGATTCCGAGGAAGAAATGTAATCACCGAAGAAATCTTAATAACAAGTGAACAGCTTGAATCGGTTGTTGTTTCCTGCATCAAAACTTGTCATTACATGTTTTGCTCGCTTGTTGTGAAACTTTTTGGTGATTACGTTCCTTCCCTGGGACCTCGTAATGAAGTTTCTTTAATTAATCAAACAATTCTTTTTTAAATCAATATATTTTAGGTCTGGAGTAATGACAGGATAAAGGCTTGTGAACACCAAGTTATCATACAGGAAGAGAAAGAAAGGTGCTCGATGGGATTATTTTCATTTGGCAGTAAGATGGTGGAGACACAAGAAGAGTTAGTTGATGAAGAGCATCCAATACGATACAAACCATTTGACCATTATGATTATATACGCTTCCACTTAACATCAAAAGCTGAGTGTCGCATCAAGGCATTCTGTGGCATTGACTATTGAATAAAAATGAAACTCGTTTTGAGTTTCCACTTCCCATATGCATAGTGATCTGTAGTTTTCTCTCCTTTTGTTTTATCTAAATTTACTGAAGTCTACTACTACTTTGCAAAGTTGAAGAAGATTCTCCAATTAGAGTGACTTCATAAATTTCTTTGGACATCATATTTGCATCTCATTGGTTGTTTTGACAAAAAATTGTGAATAAATCAAAGCTTTTTTTTTTTTTTAATGTTTTAGATTTGGAGTAGTGACAGAATAACATGTTGTCGACATAAAGTAGTCATCATGAAGGACGAGAGCGAGAGGCATTTGACAGGAAGGTATAGTTCAAACTTAAGAAGAGCTAGTTGATGAAGACCATCTATCCAACACGATATAGGACATTTGACCATTATGAATACTTAGACATGAAAAAGAAAACAAATTTGAAGAAAATAAATATCAGAATTATTATTATTAGTATAAGCACACTTAAATAAGGGTTGATTAGTATTAAACTATTTGCACTCTAAGTGCACGGGTCGTGACAAGTAATACAATTATGAGAAAAAATCGTTCTCATGGAGATTTGTGTAAAAATCAAGACCAAACAAAAGACTGGGTGAATTTACTTAAGTTGAGCCAAACAAATCTTTGATGGGTAAAGTGAATTTTGAAAACTAATTTTAAACTAGAAAGTAATGAAAATACTTTATTCTTAAATTTCAAGGGAATGATAAAGGGACCTAGGATTATTTATCCCCTTGCATTTCACAACCATTAATTTATCTCCTCTCATAGATATTCTTAATGAAAATATGTGATAGTCTAGGATTCAAAAAGTACTTGTAAAAGCTTTCTCAAGTCAAGAACAAGTCTTTAGTTTCATTAATTAGTCAATCTCTTATTTTAATTAATAAAACCTAAATCTAAGTTCCAATCCTAAAGTGACTGTGTAAGGTTAATAAGTATATCTCTATCTTATCAACAAAATCATCCATTCCACAAGCACACTTCACATTCTTACTCAGTTTTACCTAAGTTCTATATTCAAGCTAGCCCTCTCAAGCATTAATCAAGTGAACAAATCAACTAAATAGTGATGAAGCATTTAGAAGCATTAAGAAAAGAGTAAAATAAACACACGCACATATATATCATCAATTACAAAATAAGAGTAATCAAGAGTTAATCCATACAAAGATTTAAAATAATTCTAAAACAAAGTGCTTAGCTACTCATAGTCAGCCACAAGCCATAACTATAAGAGTAAATTACAGTCATAGTAGATTACAAGAGAGAAAATGGAATAATAGTAGAAAACCCAAGAAGAAGGAGCTCCAAATCTCTTCCATAACACAATCCCTTGCTCCAAGCTCTTCAATATTCCAAAACCCAAGCACACTAGCTCCCTAGAGGTCTAAAGTCCCATTATTTAGGCACTTTCCTTCCATTGAAGTAGCATATGGTGCTCTAGAATGTGTGTTGTCTTCAAAACACAGAGTATCAATTATTTTACATTGGCTGCTACCAATTTGTTTCTATCTCCTCAAATCTTGACTGTCGCCAATTCCTTTCTATCTCCTCTGTTGGCTAAAGCCAAAGGTTCCTATTGGTTAGGGCCAATAAGTCATTGTCTTGGATCCCTTCTTCACTTAATTTTCTCATTATGTCATGGCTCTCTAAGCTTCTTTCCAACTCCAAGGGGATTAATGTTTGTTTCAAATGGCTCCATTAGCAAGCTTCAACTACCTAATAAAATAAGATAAATTATGAAAGCCAAAATTGTTCAACTAGGGGCAAAATATTAATAATTAACTATAAATCCATAAATTTAGCCTAAGTATCAACTATGCACATTTTTCCATTATAAATACTTCTAAATATGCATTAATTCATCAAAATATATTATTCGCACCACAAGTGCATGGGTCATCACAAGTAATAAAGTGATGAGTAAAGTATTGTTTCCACAAGGATTTGGTTTTAAAACCCGGTCAAGCATTAATTATTACACTTTTGCTTAATTTGAGTAATACAAATATCAAAAGTAAAAGCAACTATTTATAAAATTAAAAATTAATAAAAAGAAAAAGTGATTCTTCAGTTCCATTGATTCAAAGGAACCTAGCTAGGATTATTTATCCCCGTTATATTTCAAAAGTACTCAATTAAATCAATTCCAATGATTCAAAGGGATTTAGGAATATTTATCCCCCTTATATTTTAAAAGTACTCAATTAAATCCTCATTATAATTTCTTAATTATAGATTATGCCTGCCAAGGACACTAAATTACCTATGAGTGCTCTCTGAAGTCTCCAAATAGGTGTTTAACTCAATTAATTTCTTAATTTCTTAATTAACTAATTAATTAATTAATTAAGCCTCAATTTTAATTGCAAAGCTTATGTGACTATGTGAGGTTAATGAGTATATCTCTATCTCATTAACAAAACCATCCATCTAACTCACAAATTTCAGGTTTTCACACAATTTTACCTAAGTTCTACACCCAACCTAGTTTTCTCAAGTATCAATCAAGTGAACCTAACAATCTCATTGGTGGCCAATCCATAAGAAGCATTAAGCATAGAGTAAATCAACACAATCATATCATTAATCACAAATATATAGGGAAAACGAGTACTTAATCTATACAAGAGTTCAAAAAAAATCCTAGAATCAAAGTATTTAGTCATACATGCTCAGAAAATCCATGTGAACATACATCTATATCGGCACAAACATGAAACAAGAGTAGAGAAAGCAAGACGGAGGGGAAAAACCAAGGAAAGAAGCCCAAATCTCTTCAGAGCTTCAACTCCTAGCTCAATCTCCTCCAAGAAGCCAACTCTAACACAGCCAAATACTCTCAAGAGCTACCCAGAACTGAACAATGGCAGCTGATATTGAGTTTGGGGCCTTAAAACCTAGAATTTTTGAACTAGTTGAGCTTTGGATTGTGCTGTCAATGATTGCGCTGCAACCTAAAAATTTTGCACTGCGGCTGAGTTTGCCTCACTTAGTTGGGCCATAGCCAGCTCAGAGTGCACCGCAGCTCATTTTGCCTCTGAAAAATTTTGTACATCTAGCTCAAATGAAGAGTTTTACCTATGATTTGGCCTCTATTTGTTCTTCTTTGATCACCATAATGTAATTCTTAAGAAACCTTGATCTTTAATTCCTTCCAAAATACTTCCAAGTGGCTTGAAACCTTAATTCTTAGGCCAAAATAACCTTGCAAAAGTGACAAACTTTATAAGCTCAAAAATAACAAGGATAAATGCCAAAATATGAACAAATACATCTAAAAATACATAAAACTCAAGAAAAAAGTGCTGAAATGACATAAAATTTTAGAGATTAACATATATGATAACTGAAAGAAAAAAAAAAGTGCTGAAATAACATGAATTTCACAAGCTTAACATAAGCGGGTTCATAATGCATTGTTGTTGAATGAGAAACTCGTTCCAAACCAGTTATAAGAAAAGTTATATATACGACATGAACATTAGAAATGTTATTTAAGACATTAGAGGTAAAACATTTATGGATATCCCCACATCCATGTAATATTTGCAATGTTTATAATTTTTTTTAAAAAAAAGATCTTGAACACATCTCATTGTATGGGAGTTGCTGTTTTATAGTATATTCATATATAAGCGACAATAACAAAAACACGAGTTTAGACAAAAGACGAAAAGAAACAAATTAAAAGCAGCATCACAGATTTTGCACCTCCATACACTTAGATTACATGCAAATTTTGAAATTTCAAATATTCATGCATTGGGACACGTAAGTTCCTTTTTCTCTCTTGTGATTGGATTCATTATTTCCGTTCTAAATACGTTGTTCCGAATTCCCGCGATATAAGAGTTCTTAAATTATTAAAAAGTTAAATAAATTAGTTAATTATAACAAATTAAACATGACATCAGCAGCCATCTCCTCAATTATTAATTAAATACTACCCCCGTTATAGAAACTAGTTGATTAATTTGAGTAGATTAAGAAAATTAGTTAAGCTGGTTATTAATTTGTAATAAATGTATGTTTTCTTTCCTAAAATACCTTTACCAATAATGAATATTAGATAGAAATATCATTTGATGAAATATTTAACATGTGCAACTACTATTGTGGATCATCGTCGTAGGGAATTGGAATTCGCCATTGCAAATAAGGTATTTCTAAAAGTGTCGCCCATGAAGGGTGTTGAGATTCAGAAAAAAAAGATAAGCTAAGTCTAAGATATATTGGTCCATTTGAGATATTAGATGGAGTTGGTGTTGCTACTTATCATCTAGCGTTGCCTCCAGAGTTATCTAGCATTCACCCTGTATTTCATGTGTCTATGCTAAGAAAGTATCTTTATGATCCCTCTCGTGTTATTGAGTACAAGAATTTGGCATTAATGAATATTAGTCTTATGAAGAGGTTCCAGTGGCAATCTTAGATAGACAAGTAAAGAAGCTAAGATCAAAAGAAATTGCTTTGGTAAAAGTGTTGTGGCACAATCATTCTCAAGAGAAAGCCACTTGGGAGGTTGAATATAACATCCCAAATTTTGGCTCATAGATACAAGTAATAGCACAAGAAAATGATGATTACTAAGTCCAATGCAACGAAAGTCCCGGAGATCCCTCAGAAGGAAAAAGAGATTTTCCAAGGGCAAATGTGTAAAACAATAGTATTCAAGGACTAAAGAATGACGAAATGGAAACAACCAAAGGCCAGAGGTTATACCAGAAACTTGCAAGAGATGGTTCTGAAGGTTAAGCCTAAGGAGGGACCAAATTGCAAAGAAAAAATTCCTAGGCCAAGTAGGGACCTAATTGTAAATAATAAAAGTTCTGGTCAGCCAATACTTAGAGTTAGCAAAAATGGCCCAAATGACTTAGAAAAATTCCAAAAAAAAATAGGAATAGGATCCCAAAGCCGATATTAGGCTAGAAATCATGGAAATGCCCTGAAGTCATTCTACGATTTTGGACAATTTGAGATAGTAACTTAAATTGAATTATTTAAGCTATGAGACGGCCTCAAATAATCAGGAAAAACTGGGAACAGTAGTTGAGGAATTTGTGTAGATTGTAAAATAATTCCATCCCCAAAAACTGACAAGGTTAGTTTTAATTAAATTTAAAGCCTATTTA